AAATGCCTATATTTATGAAAAAGAAAATCAAAAATCAAAAATCTAAGCTGACATCATAAGAAGCTAGAAAAAAGAAAAATTAAACCCAAAGTTAGTTGAAGAAAATAAATAACAAAGGTACAAGCAGCAGTCAATAAAACAGAAAATAAAGAAGCAAAGGAAGAAAAAACAACCTAAGAAATTAAAAACTGGCTCTTTGAAAGATAACTGACACAACTCCAATTATACTAGTAAAGAGAATAGGCACAGACCGGCCATATCAGGAATGTCTTATAGACAATAAAGAAATACTATAAACCAGTTTATGGCACTAGACAACTTATACAAAATGTAGAAATTCCTTGAAAAACACAAACTGCCAAAACTGACATAAGACATTTAAAAATTGGAAAACTCTGTTTCTGGTTAAGTTTCTTGGCCCCGAGTCCTGTTCTCTGACCCGTTTTGTGACACTGGAACTGGGGCCTGTAAACACTTTCTTTTGCCAGAGAGCGAGGCGGGTACCACGGGGACATTCAGAAGCAAGGAGCTTCCATCCCCAAGACAGTGCGCTTTCTTCTCCCTGCTCCTGTGGCGAGTGACTCACCGCAGCCTCGGGGACACCCTGTGATGCCTCCCTTCCAGGGAGGGCTTGAGACAGCCAGTGGCCCTGACCCGCCAGGTATTTTCACCAACACGCCAGCAGTTTTCCCAGAAAAGTCCCACCAGTGCCACAAAGGTTAACTTTCTAAAGTTCAGCAGCCTTCCAGGAGGCGGCTTCCCAGCGAGTCTCAAGTCCACCCCCAAAGCCAGGCTGCTGCTTGCCAGCTGCAGCGGCACCATCTCAGAGGTTCTGGGCCATCCACAGAGCCACGGCCACGCCACCTCCAGAGAGACCTGAATCTCGGCCTTGCCTGGAAACCCTCCTCCAGGTGCGCTCCTTCAAGGACTCTGCCCGGCCAAGAAAGCGGCTGTCTCCAGAGCTGCACTTCTGCATTCTTCAGGGCTCTCTACCTCTTAGTAGTTAATCCTGTTACTAGTAGTAACTCTCTGTGTGAAGTTTTTCCTGGGGTAGCTTCTGCCTCCTCAGGGAACCTGACTGATACAACTATCAACTCCATCTAAGATTTAAGAAACTCACAAACTCTTTCAAAAAATAAAGAAGAGGAGGGAACACTTGCCAATTGAGTTTATAAAACATCATGCTGGTACTAAAACCAGACAAAGACATTAAGAAAAAAAAAAAAAACTAGACCCATATTCCATGTAAACATAAACATAAAAACCCTTAACCAAATACCAAGGAATCAAATTCACTACAATATAAACAGGGTAATAAACACCACTTGATCATGATATATCTCAGGAAGGCAAAATTGTTTTAATATTTAAAAACCAAACATGAAATACCATCTTCACAAAACAAAGGAGAAAAATCATATAACTATCTTATTAGGTACATAAAAATCATATAACTTATTAATAAATTGAATCTCTATTCACAATAAAATTCTCCACACACTGGAAATTGAAGGTAACTTTCCCTCGATAAAGGGAATCTACAGAAAAGAAACACTATAGCTAACATCACACTTAATGACAAAAGATACTTCTTCCCTAAGATCAGGAACGCAGCACGGACATCGGTTCTTACCACGTCTTCCCTACTTTGTACTGGAAGTCCTAGCCAGTGCAGTAAGACACCAGAAACAAAGCAGATCTATGAGAAAGGAAGAAGTAAAACTATCTGTATTCACAGATGATATTATTATCTATGTAGAAAATTCTAAAAAAAAATTTTTTAAAGCTACTAAAATAAGTGAATTTAGTAATTTGGTGGAACTGCAGGTCAACAAAAGAAAATCAACTGTGTCTTGATGTATGCACAACAAAGAACTGAAAAGTAAAATAAGGAGGAACACCATTCACAATAGCATCAAAAAACAAAATATTTAAGGATAAATAAAATATGTATAAAAACTATATAGTGAAAACTACAGAAATTGCTGAGAGATATTATAGAAAGCCTCAAAACATGGAGATGGAACATGATCACAGATTGAAGGGTCGACATTATTAAGATATCTATTCTTCCCATCTGTAATGCTGGTGTGATTCCAATCAAAATTCTAGGAAGGACTTTGTAGGTATATATGGGTCTAAAACTGATGGAAATGTAAAGGATCTAGATTATTCAAAACAACTTTGAAGGACAAAGTTGGAAGATATAAGCTGAGCTCACATTCTACTGTTCGTCACCTCCGCTGTATAATCATAAGGGTTTGATTTAGACCATACGTGAATGGCCTAGCGGTCTTCCCTACTTTCCTCAAGTTAAGCCCAAATTTTGTGGATGATGTGAGCCACAGTCAGATCCAGATCTTGTTTTTGCTAACTGTACAGAGCTTCTCCATCTTCAGCTGCAAAGAACATAATCAATATGATCTCGGTATTGACCATTTGGTGATGTCTATGTGTAGAGTCATCTGTGTTGTTGGAAAGGGTGTTTGCTAACGAAGAAAATGTGGTATTTGCCTAAAGACAGACATAGATATCAGTAGAACAGAATAGAGAGTCTATTATTAGTTGTACACATGTACGGTCAATTGATTTTTGACAAAGGAAGTCTTTTCAACAAATGATGCTGGAGAAACTGAATATTCACACAGGAAGAATATGAACCTCAATTCTCGTCTCTCTTCATATAACAAACAGTAACGCACAGGGGAGCACAGATCTGAATACGAAAACCAAATACACTAAGATTCCAGACGACAAAGAAGAGAACATCCTTGTGAACTTGGGCCAAACAAAGGTTTCTTAGGACACCAAAAACACACCTATCATGAAAGGAGAAAAACTACAAATTGGACTTCCAAATTCAAATTTTGTACTTTTCAAAAGATATAGACTTGAAGAAAAATCTACAAAATACATATCTGAGTTTAGAAAACAATTGTACCTGAAATGTAGAGAGACCTCTTACAACTCAATAATAAGACAAAGAACCATATTTTTTAAACGAGCAAAAGATTTGAACAAACACTTCATGAAAATATATGAGTGGGAAATAAGCCCTTGAAAAGATGCCTAGCAGCTAATGAACCTACTACACAGTCACAAGAAAGAGTTAAAATTAAAAGTAATAATAACAGGAAGATAGAGCAACTGAAATTCTCAAACATTTCTAGTGTACAAAATCATATAATTAACTTGGAAATGTTTGATAGTTTCTTATAAAGTTGAACACACACTTCCCAATAAGATCTAGCAATTTCACTTCTTGGCATGTACCCAAGAAAAATGAAACGTATGTCCACACAAAAGCTTGTACTCAAATGTTCATAACAACTTTATTTGTAATTCTAAAAGCTGGGGGAACAAATTGTGGTATACCCCTTCAACAGTAAATCATTGATATATATAGCACATAAACAAATGTCAAAAACTTCATGATAAGTAAAATTATTCATAAAAGAGTACAAAGTGTATGATACCGTTTTTATAATGTTTTGGAACAAGGAAAATTTATCAACAGTGACAGAAATCAGATCAATGATTGCCTGGGATCAGGGTGGGGTGAGGGTAAATGACTGCACAGGTATAAGAGAGAACTTTCTGGAGTAACGAAACCATTTGATATCTTGGTTTATCCATTTACCAAGACTCATGGAACTGAATACTTAAAATGCAAACATTTTACTATATGTAAATTATACCTCAATAAAGTTAATTTTAAAAAACATGTAGTGACCTAAACTGGAAATCACTTAGACTGGTTTTAATTTAAAAATTTTCCTCTGTAACCTGATTTATTCTAAAATTTAGTTTCTTGTCTCTAACAGTAATACAAAACTTCATGTCAATTTATCCTACATTAAATAATTATAAATTCCAAAACTGTAGAATTAGTTCAATGAACTTTTAAACCTTCATTATTAAAAAAAAAAAAATTTATTTTATCCACATGAATAACTGATTTGCTTCAAGGGGGTACACTAATGATTAGATACAAATTATAAAGCATGAGAAACATTCTCACCTACACTTGAACATATTTGTACTTCAATTAAATAAATACTTCTAACCACAGCAAAATATTAGAGGATGATCCAGTTCTATAAACCAGCAAAAGGTTAGGCGATCATCTTCCAGGCACAAGGAGATGGAAGTATTCATTAGTTATTTTAGTTTATCACCAATGCCAGAAGAGAAGTCAGACCAGAAAGGCACCAGGAAATGAAACAAAAAATGTGCTACAATTTTACCTTTGGACCCACTAACAGCATTGGCTACATGCCAGGGAGCTTTCTTCTTCCTTCCAGTCACCCGGAAAACGTTCACAGAGTTGTAAGGGTCACAAGACTAAAAGCTAGACCCAAAAGAAAAAAAAAAAAAATGCAGGTAACCCAATTAATCTGCTAATATTTATTACTGTAGAAATATCTTTAGAGGTAGTTATTAATGAGTTATTTTTCAAATCATCTCACTCATCGTAATTCAAAAATATATCACTTTAAAAAGGAAAAGAAAAAAATACTTTTCAGAGTGCAGGCGTAACATGTTGGAGTGGTTTCTGCACAGCAGTGCTGCCAGGGTCTGCAGCTTCCTATGAGGGCAGCACAGCCCGCGATGAGGACACACGGTGAGCATGAACACACACCGCCGGGACGAGCACGTCCTGGCCATCTGCACGGGCAAGTAAGATGACGAAAGCTCCCTCGGCATTAACACAAGGCCTCGGGGTCTAACACCCTAGCCACTCCCAAGGATGGGACCCATGTACTTCGTGTCCTCTGTATGGGACACATCCGGTCATGTTAAAGCTTCATCTGTTTCCCCTTGGAATTAGTTCTAAAATAATCTTCAAGAGGCTCAGCAAAAATATATTTTTCTCCCCATTTCCTCTTCATTATTTTTCGCCTCTGAAAGGCTCCTATATTGATCATCAAAACGAGAATTGGCTCTGAACCAAAACCAAAACGAAGGACAATGCAGAGTGTCCCACGGCCCTCTGTGGATTAGTGTGAGGCTTCCACACGGAAGTTGTCAAACTGCGCGAATTCAAAGGAGTGAGTCCCAATCGCGGCCCAGCCGTTTCCTGGGAAGTTCACAGAGATGTTCTTCCAGAGGGTCTTGCCATTCAGCTTGCCGGAGGAGGAGCGACCCTGGAGTGGAGAGAGACATGGGAAAACGGTCCTCTGAAGCCTGCTGCTCAGTGGAAGGCCCACCCACTCAGTGCAGCAAACATTCTTCTCACGCAAGACTCATCAAGGCAAAACGATCCCACACCTTCGAGCAGAAGTTTGAAATGCAGGGGAAATTTTCTCAAAGGAAATTCTCATCTATTTATATAAACAGTTCTCAAGGCACAAGAATACCTCAATATTTCCTGTACTCCCCCAAAATGCTGCAAAATCTTCAAGAATGTAACACTTTTCATAACATTATGATAAAATTGTAGACAAAAGCTCACTAAAACACATTTCTTATTTACAGGTAGTTGCAATTACGTCCTTTGTAGCTTACAGCTACCAGCTCTTCAGACAGGACTACAGGGGCCAAGATGTTTATTTAAGGTCTTCATTAAAGAGCATCAGCCCAGCCAGGAGAAGAGTAATCAACCTTCATTTTATTGTTTTATCCTCATGTACAGAATATCACTTCAAGGTCATATCAAAAGCTCACCCTTATGTTAGAAAAACAGTAACCAGCATTTAAACTGGTGATGGGAGGGGCAGGGGGAGTGAATGGAAGAGAGAAATATCCACAGGAACAACGTACTGGTCACTGACAGAGAAAGATAAATGTGACACCTTGCTCAGACGCTGCCCTTACTACTTAGCTAAGTGCCTGGCACACAGCTCTTACCATTATTACAACTTGCTTGTGAGCAAACATTCACAACACACTCCTTCCAGCCACATTTAAAACTAGCTAATTTCAAAAGGGTGAAAAGTAGAAGATCCGAAGCACTAGGTGGAGTCAGAATAAAATCTGCTCTTGAGTCCTACACTTACAATGGAATGGGCCTTCATTTAGTTCTTATGTTTTATGGCTGCAGACATGGTGACGAGCAACCAGAATCACAGATTTACCAGCGATGCTCAGACCTGAATTTGAGTTGCCCAACTCCACATGCAGAGCCACACACGCTCCCATTACCTCACACCTCACAGCAATCCAGCTCCAGCTCTGAAAGTGCTTGTTCGCCACTGAGGGACTGGTGACTATTACACTGAGCCCGGGGCTCCAGCACACAAACCACAATAAGCACAGACGCTCCTCTCCCCGCCCCGCCCCCGGCATCGGCTGCCCAAGCCTCTGACCGCCACTCCCACTCGGCCAGTCAGAGCTCGCCCTTCGCTCAGACCTCAGCTCGGCCACCACCTCCAAGAGGCCTTCCCTGACTGCTATCTGGAGAATCTGGCAGGGAAGCCACTTTATCTCATTATCCCATTTTTACCTTCACAGTTTTATTTGCTTATTTATAGCAGGAGTCAGCCGGCTCTGGCCCACAGCCCAGCCACCTATTTTTATAAATTCAGTGGAACACAGCCACTCCCGTTCCTCCACCTACTGTCAAAGGCTCCACTCTCGCTACAAAAGCAGAGCTGAAGAACTGCAAAATACACCATAGGGCGCTCAAGGCCTAAAATCGTTCCTCTTTGGCACCTTACAGAAAAAAAAAAAAAGCTTAATAACTCCTGTCCCAGAAGAACAGAGCTCTGAGAGAGCAGGAATCTTGCCTGTCTAGTTCACTACTGTATCCCTAGTATTGAGAACAGTACACATAGTAGACACTTGATAAAAATGTGTCGAATGAAAAAAAAAAAATCATCTAACTCTCAAACAACCCACAGAGCTTACTTCCATTTTAAAGACAAGGACACAGAGGTTCACAAAGGTGAAATAACCCAGACACACGCTAGCATCCCAAGGACTGGTGGTTTGCTGGTATCATGGCAGGTTCTCTGCCTGTTTTCCACTGTTTATCACACTTTCCCAGTCTCATCTGATAACATAAAATGTTAACCAAAAAAAAAAAAAAAAGACACAAGAAAGAACATTTTACCTCCAGGAACTGGGATCGGCAATACTTACATTCAGAGTTAAAGTGAGTGTATACCATTTTTTTGCTGTAACATCAGCATGTCCTAAACTATATATGATCCATCCAGCTGTAACACAAAAAGATTATCCTAGTTGACATATTTTTAAAATCTAAATCACTGAATCACATAACTCATTGGGGGTTCTTAGGTGCATCTGTATATAGTAAAGTCAGTCATAATAAAGATCGACATTTCCAAGATCTACAACTGATTTAAAACAAAAAACACCCTTCATTGAGGAATGCATTCAACATGCAGAGATCCTACCCTGAGCCATATACAATACATGAGCTCACAAGAGAATGAGCAAAATAAACTTACAAATCAAGCAGGGTACATGATGCCTTAGAATGTATATTCAGGTCTGTATGTATACCTGATTGGACCAGATATGGAAGATAAGCAGGAACAGTCAAAAAACTACCATAAGACTTCCAGCTAGTGTAACTGACATTAGAGAATTAGAGAGAAAATAATGTCAGTTTTTGAATGTATTATATTTGAATGCCTGACGGAAACCCAGGATGAGATGTTCAATGGGCAGTTTAAGACACAGGGCAGTGAGGACTGAAGACAGATTTAAATCTCTAGTTCCACTTCTTCCACTACTTCATTTTGAGACCTTCAGCAAATCAATTAACCTCTCTGGCACTCTCTTTTGGACTGGAAAATTCAAGATACCTTCCAGACCAGTCATGCTATGATTATGCAATTTCTATTCTAATATCCTTATTACCCACTCACTCTTTAACTTCTATTTTATCATTGGAGCCCTTTAACCTAAGGAAGAAGCAGAGGGGGAAAACAATAGGAGAGAAGACTTTTTATTAATGCAGGATGAAAGTCAAGAAACTGTGAATCAGAAAGAGTCACCAATAAGATCTAGTTTAAACAGATCTTGGTTTGGTGTGTACCCAAACCAAAGTGAAGTGGGTGGAATTCAACTTGAACAGATTCTAAGTACCTATTCTAGATAAAATACTATTATACGTAAGACAGAGACTATTAAGATGAATAATAAAGTCAAGCTGTTTTCAAGTTATTGACTAAATTAGGAAATAGGGTATCTCCATTTTAAGCAAGTTAATTCTTCCCTTTATATTTCCATAAGCACAGCAGCAACATTCTCATAGTTCTACTTTTTTTTAAATTTCCTGAGTATTCTCTCCTTACCCCCACGCCCTACTCTAACAGCCTAGCTCAAGTCTACAGTACCCGAGAGACTGTGCACAATTTCCTCTTTCACTGGGCTGCCTCTGTACTAATTAATTAACACTATAATTTGGAATCGTCTGGTGTTTGCTTACACACGTTGAATCTCTTCCCAATTAGATGCTCAAACATGGTGAGGTATTTCATTACTCCCACAGGTAACAAGCAGAGACTCACAGCAACGTACCACATAGTAAATCATGCGCTACAGAAGAAACCACTTACCTAGATCGCCTGTGACTCTGTAGGTTCCATTTGCAAAAATCCAGAAGAAAACCCCCCTGGCACTTCTAATCAAAATACCACCTTTATTGACTCTTCCAGCAATGAACACGCCTCCCTTCTCAGGGGTCTCTATGTACACATCGCACTTTACAGTCAGATTGGACCTGCAGAAGCAGAGTGTTAGCGCTTGTAACCTCACAGTCACATGCTTCCAAACTTCTAATTGAGGGGAGTATGTGTTTCGCTAAGTCCACATTAACAGCAGGTAGGGGCTTCAAGAACCTTCCCCAATAATGGTTTTAAATTTTACATGACTATAAGTCAAGTCATTTCACTGCATCTCTTAAATGACTTACTATTGGAAAATAAACTTAGTTTTCAAGTTTCCTAAGAATGCATTTCCTGTATTTCTATAATAAAATAACTTCTCGTTCTAAGAATATAATAAGAATCCATTTTTTTCTAGGAATACATAAAAGATAGGTTTCCATGTAAGTCTGAGCAAAAAGGTTTATTACATTTACATCAGCAAAGAGAAGCAGTGAAGACTACATATTAGGAGCCTCTGAGAAAAGTTACTTTGAGGCTGATTTTTACATTTAACCCTAACAAGACTTAGAAATGACAGAAGAAAGATCTAAAATTATTTTCTCTGTCAAGTCAGAGTCAACTGTACCTTGAATCTACAGCGGGCATTTTCAGACTTGAGCCCCATGGAAATCACCCTGGAGGGGGTGTTTGATTCTGCCTGCTGGGCCCACCCTCAGGGTCTGACTCAGCAGGTGTAGGGTGGGCCCTTGAACCTGCGTGTCTAACAGACTGCCAGGTGACGCTGATGCCGCAGGTCCAGGAACCTCACTCTGAGAACCATTTTCCCCTACAGGGTATCTCTATGAACAGGCAGTAAAATCCCGGTTTTGGCAGTGCTGACTGACAGAGTGTATCAAAGGAAGAGAAGGATTCAGCCAACCAGGAGCTCTCCTCTGGGCTTCCTTTCACAAATGCGACCAGATTTGCTTTGCAGTTATTTGTTGTTGTCTAGTTGCTAAGTCGTGTCCAACTCTTTTGACCCCAAGAACTGCAGCCCACCATGCTTCCCTGTCCATGGAAGTCTCCAGGCAAGACTACTGGAGTGGGTTGCCACTGCCTTCTCCAAGGGATCTTCCTGACCCAGAGATCAAACCCACATCTCTTGCACTGGCAGGCAGATTCTTTACCTCTGCGTCACCAGGGAAGCCCACCATCACCCCAATCCAACATGACGTTTGAAAACAATTCCCCTGCTATTCAAATCTGAAGTGCAAATGGGAAAGAATTAGCTTGTACACAGCCAAGCAATAAAGCAAGCAATTTATCTAAAACTAAGAATGCCAAGAAATACATTTATCGAAATGGGGATAATAGATCTAGAATTATGTGCTTTTCACATTTTTCATCAGTGAATTTTGCAGTGAAATGTTACTTTGTAAAGGAAAATATAAAAAAGAAGCACCTACAACAGGTACACAACCACCAGAAAAACCCTCATTTAATCGTTTACTCAAAGCTGGGCCACTTCACAGAAGACCAACGCTAAGGAGCTGCAGCCCAGTCTGCCCTGTGCGTCCTCCCACCGCAGAGACTGCTCTTCTCTTCACCAGCAGCACGAAACCGCTGCGGTCGGACTGCTCCTTAAATCCCCTGCCTCTCTGTCGGTTCATCAGAAGCTGTCAGCACCATAAACTCACTCTATTTAGTGTGAAAGTGAGGGAAGATCAAATGTTTTCCTTTTTTACATCACATTCCATAATAAACAATTCTTGCATCAGAACTTATAGGCAATTTTACAGATAATGAATAAAATAGAATAAAGGTTTGGCTTCATCTTCCATAGTCATAACCCATCAGAAGTGCTGACAGAATAAAAACCAGCCAACATATTAAGTAAATTTGATCAAAAGGATTCAGAGTTCAGGTCTGTTCAGAAAAAAGATAGTTTTGTGATTGTCCTCAGATTCCAGCCAAAGCTTGCTAATGAGATGAAAGTCTGAAGTAGCTTTGGGAAAGTCCACCCTCTATAGTCAAACTACTGTGCTGACACTTAACTAAATCTAAATGCGAGGGAAGTTCTGTCCTAAACACAGTTCTAAGAACTGATGGTGCCCTGCATGCATAGAGCTGACTGACTGGACTAGCACTATGGATACACTCTGCTAACTTTCTGTTTCTTGCCCTCAGGGAGAAGACAGTGATTAAAACAGGGCTGTGAGAGGAAGTCCAAGGAGCAGGGGCTCCAGCACAGGACAGACCTGGCCTCTTGCCCTGGTTCTGGAATTTAAAAGTATGGGATCTTGAACAATCTTACCCCATGCCTCAGGTTCCCAGTCTGTAAGGCAGGTAGGGTGCTGCCTTCAGCATAAAGCAGCCATGGGAAGCACAGACCAGTGTTCAGTGTTACCCAGCTTTCACCCCCTCCGCTCCCTGCAATAAACGGGCATCACGGCCAGAGGGCAGAAATGAACATGGGATGCGTGTTCATCTCTCAACAGATCTGGCTCCCCTGCACCCAGAACAGGATAATGAGAAGCAACACAAAGTAAACAGGATGAGAGCAAATTTTAAAAGATTTTGGAATCAGGCCCAGAAGTGTGGCTCGGGCCCGGCCTCAGGCAAGGGTCGCGGCGCACTCCTGAGCAGTGAAACAACAGGAGGAGGGCAGAGTGTAAGAAGGACGGAAGCAGTCCTCTCTCGACGTGCGAGACTGCGATTTCCTGGTTCTTTTTCTTTCAGAATATGTCACTCTTTCCTTCTCTCCCCACTTCACTTCATCCTTCCGTTCCCTATCTCCTTCCCCACTGCAATAGTAAAGATTCAGTACTGCTATGTAAATACTGCAAAACCTTCACAGTTACAAAGAGTTTTGGTTAATCCTTGGATAGTGTTCTATATCATCTCTCTACTATAATGAAATTCTCTCAACTTTTCTAGAGTCTCAGCCAGAAACAAAAGATTTGGGGTTCAGAGAGAACTTCATGTAGAATATTCGCAGGCATGGGGGATAAGGGTTGGCCCACAAAGTTAAAGGTTATCTATGGCAGCTGCCTTCCAGACTAGTGGTCAAAATATAACAAGGCCCATCCCTCAGACAAATAAACTCAGTCACCTGTCTTACAATAAGACCATTAGTTAAAAAAAAAAAGGAAATCACAAAGCCCACTGACATGACCAGAATATCCAGATAAAGTGTCTAGTACAGAGATCAAATTGCCAACATCCGTTGGATCATCAAGAAAGCAAGAGAGTTCCAGAAAACCATCTACTTCTGCTTTATTGACTATGTCAAAGCCTTTGACTGTGTGGATCACAACCAACTATGGAAAATTCTTCAACACATGAGAATACCAGACCACCTTACCTGCCTCCCTGAGAAATCTGTATACAGGTCAGGAAGCAACAGTTTGAACTGGACATGGAACAACAGACTGGCTCCAAATTGGGAAAGGAGTCTGTCAAGTCTGTATATTGTCACCCTGTTTATTTAACTTATATGCAGAGTACATCATGTGAAATGCCAGGCTGGATGAAGCACAAGCTGGAATCAAGATTGTCAGGAGCAATATCAATAACCTCAGATATGCAGATTACACATTTATGGCAGAAAGTGAAAAGGAACTAAAAAAAAGCCTCTTGATGAAAGTGAAAGAGGAGAGTGAAAAAGTTAGCTTAAAACTCAACATTCAGAAAACTAAGATCATGGCATCCGGTCCCATCACTTCAAGGCAAATAGATGGGAAACAGTGGAAACACGGAGAGACTTTATTTTCTTGGGCTACAAAATCCCTGAAGACGGTGACTGCAGCCATGAAATTAAAAGACACTCACTCCTTGGAAGAAAAGCTATGACCAACCTTGATGGCATATTAAAGAGCAGAGACATTACTTTGCTGACAAAGGTCCATCTAGTCAAAGCTACAGTTTTTCCAGTAGTCATGTGTGAATGTGACAGTTGGACTATAAAGAAAGCTGAGCGTCAAAGAATTGATGCTTTTTAACTGTGGTGTTGCAGAAGACTTTTGAGAGTCCCTTGGACTGCAAGGAGATCTAACCAGTCCATCGTAAAGGAAATCAGTCCTGAATATTCATTGGAAGGACTGATGTTGAAGCTGAAACTCTAATACTTTGGCCACCTGATGTGAAGAACTGACTGACTGGAAAAGACCCTGATGCTGGGAAAGATTGAAGGTTGGAGGAGAAAGGAACAACAGAGGATGAGATGGTTGGATGGTATCACTGACTCGATGGACATGAGTTTGAGCAAGCTCCAGGAGTTGGTGATGGACAGGAAAGCCTGGCATGCTATAGTCCATGGGGTTTCAAAGAGTCGGACACGACTGAGCGACTGAACTGAACAGAGATGCTGGTATAAACAGTATTCCTGTTGTGTAAAAAGATAATCCATCAAAGTTATCCTAAATTAGGTAAGAATTCTTCATCCTAATAGTTCTTCACAGTGCTATAACGGTTCCAGGAACTTTGGATAACTGAAAGTTTCTCAAGACTTATATCAGAGCTTTCGACTAGAACTTCATTTTATAACACAAAATAAGGCTCTGCAGAAGGGATAAAGACTTTCTGCAGCATTCCTCAAATAAACCATTCAAGGCTCTCTTCCAAATCATCTTCCCTTCCCTGTCCAATTTCCAAGCTACCGATATGGCTCTTTTGTGACTTTGCATCAATAATCACTGTCACTGAGGATGAAATGCTCGAATCTTGTGCCTCACAGTGCAAGTATACTAGTTGCACTCACTGGCCAACTGGAAGCTGACCTGCTTTCTGCTATTGCCACCCGCTGTCGCCGTGTAAAGGGCTCTGCACAACGGCTAAGACGGTGCAATCAAGTATGGGCCCAGCAGGCGGCAGCACCGGACCCACACAGCAACCCCCCGCAGACAGAACACACGCACACCAGAGGGCCCGCTTACACATCGACTGTGAACTGCAGTTGGGTCCAATGCCTCAGATTTCACACTCAAACCAAGTCTCATCCCGCAACGACTGCCACTGAACTGGGGAAGCCTGAGGGAAGGACGCCGAACAACAGCAAAACAACTGGCTGCTTTGTGCCCGCCGTGATATTCAACAGTTATCACATGCTGCGGAGTCCTGGCTTCAGAAAGTACTTGATGACATTACAAGGTTATTTCGCCAGATCTATGGTAAAGACTAGGTCAGTTTTACGTACCACGTGTAATCCCCGATAACGCTGATGGTGTTGAAGGCGTCGGCAGCCCACGTGATGGGCCTCTGATTGAGAACCTGGCGCAATGTGAAGCGATGGTCTCCGGGGTCTTCCATATTCACGTAGTATTCAAACACCCCGGTCTGGTCAGCAAAATTTGGAGCTTCACTAAAAAACGGGTAATCTGTTCAGAACACAATAAATTGTGTGTTGAGTTATCAAATCCTTACAGCATCTCTCCTAATGTTTTCTGGTACATTCTAATATACTTTTGAAAAGTTTTAAATTGGCAAATGCTATTTTTTATTGTTGTTCAGTTGCTAAGTCGTGTCCAGCTCTTTGTGACCCCATGAACTACAGCATGCCAAACTGCCCATGGGATTTCCCAGGCAAGAATACTGGAATGGGTTGTCATTTCTTTCTCTAGGGGATGTTACCGACCCAGGGATTGAACCCATATCTCCTGCATTGGCAGGCAGATTCTTTAACACTGAGCTACCAGGGAAATGATACTTATAAATAGTCAAAGGGTAGGGTTTAGGAAATTAAAGAGCTACTGACTTTATGTAATCTTTATTAAATATCAATATGATCAGTCTGACATACAGACTTTACATAGTCAATCCATGCAAATGCTTAAGAGGAAAGATCTTGAGTTCAGGAACATGCAGACCCGGGTTCAAAGTCTAGCTCAGTCAGTTCCCCAGGCAAGTTACTTAACTGCCCTGACTTCCAAGTTTTCAATGGTATGAAAGTGGTATGCATTCAGTAGAAACTGTACCTCAAATTCTGAATTTTGATGAGCATACCCTCTCGTGATGCAAGCAGTGGCAGTGAGCAGCAAAAAGCCACAGCCCCGTCAGCCACACAGTCACAAAGGGTAAACAACAGAGTCAGTGAGAAGCATTCTGGCCCCTGACAACCATCCTGGGCTCACTTTCTTCACAGTATCAGAGGCGACAGGAGACACGCCACACCTCTTTGGGCTTTGTGGTAGACGATTCTCCCCAGCTGCTGGGTCACGGAAGTGTTCGGAGCACACTGAAGGTAGGCCAACTGCGTTAACAGGTTTGGTAGGCTAAGTATATCGAAGTACATGAAGCACGTTTTTGATTTACGGTATTTTCAACTTATGGTGGGTTTATCAGGACCTAACCCTACTGTAAGTTGAGTAAGGTCTGTACAACTTCCATTCTAACAATAATCTCTAAATTTTTTCTGGCACTGAAAATTACAGGGCCCTCAAGTTGTGATGTTACTTGGAAATAACAGAGAAATTAGGTCCCTTTTACCACATACAGATTTAGAACTAAATCAATGTACTTCTCGCAGACTCCATCTAGCACCAGTTTGATAGGTAGAAATCTATCCATTACTGCTGAAAGTGGGAACCAAGTTATGTGTCAGTACAAAGACTCACCAATGTTGAAGTTATCCTCATAGACAGACGGGAAGCGCTGGGACTTCGGAGGCGACGGGAAGCTGCCTTTGCGGCCGGAGGTGAGCGTGGTGAGGGTGAACAGCTCGTCCTCCTGCAGCTCCAGCGTGAAGCTGCCACCGCTGTCGAGGAGCTGAGAAAGAAACGACGCTGTGGTCAAGCCAGACGCCTCGGCTCATCTCACGCGAGTCAAATAGCTTTTTAAAAAATGAGCTTAAGAAATGCCAAAGTGATTTCTGTTGGAAGTCCCTAATTATTTGTTAATATACACACTCAATACCAAGGCCCTGGAAATCTTTTTTCTTAAGTTTTTTAGAAGACTTTATACAATTGCATTCTAGAAAGGATATTAGGAGAATTTCACTTCATACAAGGAAGAAGGAACAGATGATCCCCAAATCTATTTCTATCAGTCTATGCTTTTCCATTAGACTGTAAGATCTTTAAAGCCTGTGTATAAATTCAATATATGTACCTATGAGATCTGCTTATTTATTTTTTAGGACTTCACTAAGGTAGAAAAATCTGTAAAATCTTACTGTTGACTCAGCTATTAAACACAGAAAACCTTACTATTAATTAAAAAAAGTCCTACCTACTCATTACATGTTCAATACACATTTCAATTAGCAAACTAGGTTTATATTTTGGCAATTTAATCTCTTAAAGCCATAATCGCTTCATCTCTAAAATGAGTAGAAAATACTACCACATAGGGCTGTTGTGAGTATTAAATGAGACAATATTTATAAAGTTCTAAGCTCAGTGAGCGACCCAGAAGAAACATTCCCTACATCATAGGTGTCCTACGGCAAATACAGGCCTCTAAAGACAGTGAAAGCGTTTGCATAACTGATGTTGGCACTAAATGTGGGTCCACTTAATGAAATCTGAGCAGCTCTCCTTTTCTACTTTGAATTAAATGTGTTTATATCACACCCTAGCTTTAATAGATTGTTGGTCAGATCTATGACATATCTAATACCATATTCTGGCTTAGGAATAACCCTAAATGATACATTTTTCTTATGGGAAAATCAATTTCATGATACTATTTCTAGCAATGTGTCGTACAAAAAGTAGACGACACACTTACTTCATTTATTGATAGTGACTAGTTCAGTCACAGAACATTAATAATTACCAGAAAAAGTAGATTTGTGTCAATTAGGTGAAGTGATGTGCTTGCACAGACCAATTCAGTCTTTGAAACATTTACTGATAAGAAACCACCATTTACTAAGCTCCACACTAGGCACCTGGGACAAAAAGGCAGGGACCTTTAAGGATGTATAAGGTGGGAACTCAATCATCGAGGCATCCAGTGCAGCGGGAATGTGCTTACTAGGCAAACACACATCCCCAGGTGGCTATGACCCTAAGACTGGTGGGAAGGCTTCAGAGAAAGCCACACTTGGGCTGAGTCTTGAAGGATGATAAAAATACAAACAGAAGGCATCCCAGGAGGAAGAAAAATCATGTGCAAAGTCACAGAAGTAATTAACTTGGCATACCCATGCTCTGAAAATTGCAAGAAGTTTAGTGTGAGAAGAAAGATCAATTTAGTAGGACAGGCCTCTAGAAAAGAGAGCATTCTTAAAAAAATAATAATAAAAAAAGAAAAAGAAAAAGAAAGCATTTTTACCTATGAGGTATTAATGAGGTCACATGTTACACCTAGGAATGTGAACTGACAAAACCATTAAGGCATTTGAGCAGAGGACAGACAACAGCCAGCTCTGGGAGCAGCTCGATGTTTGGCAGAGAGACTTAAAAGAGCGAGAGCGCTTCTGAAATCCGAGAGAGAGATAATGAGGGACTGAACAAGCAGGGGCAGTAGGAACGGAGAACAAGGCATGGGCAGGAGGACTATGTGGGTGATACTGTCTTTACTTGATCACTGAGGGTATTCAAAGAATGGGTGGGAATGACAGTCTCAAATGAGACTCAAATTTCTGACCTGGGCAACCAAGTGATGGTACCATTCACCAAGACAAACTACACATCAAGAGCAAACCCATCCACCAAAACATCCTTCCTTGAAGAGGCCTTCTATTTTAAAAAATGGGGGGCAACTGTATCTCTATTATGCTTCAGCCATAAGTCAATTATGAAATTAAAAACTAATTTATTAATCAAATTTCTGCCCCCTCTGCTGCTGCCGTGCTCAGACTGTGGGAACTTATTTAGCACTACCCATAGAGAGTCCAGTTGTTTGAAGAGAAACCTCTCTGGTGGTTTTCCGAGCTTGGTATACCACACCTGCAGCTCTGGTATTTCACTCTGAGGAGGAAACACAAGGACAGCACTGTTGAGTGATTCACCGTCTTCTCTTGGAGGACTTCCAAAACCTGTACCAGCAAGAATGCACCAGGGACAATGTGCACTCCATCTCTACCTACCCAAAGACCCAGCTCAAACCTTAAGTAATAATCATTTCAAAGGTAGGAAGACATTATTCAAGCAAATACTTTATTTCCTACAAACACTGCAGATTTTTGGCAAATGTTAAAAAATATTTGTATCTTTGCTTCAAAAATACTCATTACTATTATACCTATATAAAAAGCTTTTTAAGAATTTTCTGGCATTAAAAAACAATGCTTATGCAATTAGTAGAAAGTGCACTGTATGTATTTCTGTATTCAAATCTGACAATAGGTCGAAATAACAAGAATTTTGTATCTTTTTATATAGAATGTTGTAAAGAGCAGTGCTGGAAAGCTTCTTCAACTACACAAATGATGCTCTACCAAAAAGAATAATCTTCTTGCAAGTGACTTTTGTCAGGATTCTTCAAAACCACTAAGAGCATTACCTCCTAGTGGCTTCTGTACTTCCTGACTAAAACCAGTCAGCAAAGAGAACACACCAAGGCATTTAACGATGCATATGCAAACTCTTAATAGCTTACAATATTTCACTTAAAACCTCTTAGCTCATGATAAAATATATAAATTCTCAAATCAAAACCAAAATAAAAGTTCCACTTATTTACTTACAAAAGAACCCTTAAGATCGAACGTAGCAAACTGATGTGACACATTGAAATAGGGAAGAAGTGGTCGTATACACTTGGAATGTTTATGACTCTAAGGAGAAAAAAAATCATGTAAGTTATTTAGATGACACATAGGACATTTTAAAGAGAAAGTCATTTACTGCACCCAGATTAACAGAAGTGACACACACCAGGTGACAAAGAGCGAAACACGTATACTATCAAGGGTGAAACAGATCGCCAGCCCAGGTTGGATGCATGAGACAGGTGCTTGGGGCTGGTGCACTGGGAAGACCCAGAGGGATGGGATGGGGAGGGAGGTGGAAGGGGGGATCGGGATGGGGAACACATGTAAATCCATGGCAGATTCATGTCAGTGTATGGCAAAAACCACTACAATACTGTAAAGTAACTAGCCTCCAACTAATAAAAATAAATGAAAAAAATAAATTAAATAAAGCAAGGGGAAAAAAAAAGAGTGTATTTCAAATTTTTAAAGACTTTTTCTAACAAAACCTTTGTTGAGTATCTATTGTGTGTGCCTATGCAATATTGTTCTTTAAAACATCAGACTTTTCTTCCATCACCACTCACATCCACAATGTGAAATGTCTGTTCATTTCCAAGGCAAACCATTCAATACCACAGTAATCCAAGTCTAAACCCCAACCACTAATGCTGAAGAAGCTGAAAGTGAACGGTTCTATGAAGACCCACCAGACCTTCCAGAACTAAGAACTAATACCAAAAAAAAAATGTCCTTTTCATCATAGGGGACTGGACTGCAAAAGTAGGAAATTAAGAGGAACCTGGAGTAACAGGCAAATTTGGCCTTGGAGTACAGAATGAAGCAGGGCAAAGGGTAATAGAGTTTTGCAAAGAATGTACTGGTCATGGCAAACATCCTCTTCCAACAACACAAGAGATGACTCTACACATGGACATCACCAGATGGTCAACACTGAAATCAGACTGATTATATTCTTTGTAGCTGAAGATGGAGAAGTTCTAAACAGTCAGCCAAAACAAGACCAGGAGCTGACTGTGGCTCAGATCATGAACTGCTTATTGCAGTAGGGTAAACCATTGAACCATTCAGGTATGATCTAAATCAAATTCCTTAAGATTATACAGCAGAAGTGACAAATAGATTCAAAAATTAGATCTGATAGACAGTGCTTGAAGAAATATGGACAGAGGTTCATAACACTATACAGGAGGTATTGATCAAAACCACCCCCAAGAAAAAGAAATGCAAAAAGGCAAAATAGTTGTCTGAGGAGGCCTTACAAGTAGCTGAGAAAAGAAGAGAAGCTATAGGCAAAGGGGAAAAGAAAGGGTATCGCCATCTGAATGCAGAGTTCCAAAGAACAGCAAGGAGAGAAGGGAAAGCCTTCCTCAGTGATCAATTGCAAAGAAACAGAAGAAAACATTAGAAGGGGAAAGACTAGAGATCTCTTCAAGAAAATTAGAGATACCAAGGGAACATTCCATGCAAAGATGGGCACAATAAAGGACAGAAATGGTATGGACCTAAGAGAAGCAGAAGATATTAAGAAGAGGTGGCAAAAAGACACAGAAGAACTATACAGAAAAGATCTTCATGACCCAGATAACCACGGTGGTGTGATCCCTCACCTAGAGCCAGACATCTTGGAGTGAGAAATCAAGTAGGCCTTAGGAAGCACCACTATGAAGAAAGCTAGTGGAGGTGATAGAACCCAGCTGAGCTATTTCAAATCCTAAAACTGATGCTGTGAAACTGTTGCACTCAATATGCCAGTAAATTTGGAAAACTCAGCAGTGGCCACATGACTGGAAAAGGTCAGTTTTCATTCCAATACCAAAGAGAGGTATTGCCAAAGAGTATTCAAACTACCACACAATTGCACTCATTTCACACACTAGCAAAGTAATGCTCAAAATTCTCCAAGCCAGGCTTCAACAGTACATGAACCGTGAACTTCCAGATGTTCAAGCTGGATTTAGAAAAGAAGAGGAATCTGAGATCAAATTGCCAACATCCATTTTATCATCGAGAAAGCAAGAGAATTTCAGAAAAACATCTACTTCCCCTTCACTGACTACACTAAAGCCTTTGACTATGTGAACCACAACAAACTGTGGAAAATTCATCGAGAGATGGGAATACCAGACCACATTACCTGCCTCCTGAAAAATCTGTAGGCAGGTCAAGAACAGACCCAGACATGGGACAACAGACTGGTTCAAAATTGGGAAAGGTGTATGTCAAGGCTGTATATTGTCACTGTGCTTATTTAACTTATATGCAGAGTATATCTTGAGAAATGCTGGGCTGGATGAAGCACAAGCTGGAATCAAGATTGCCGGGAGAAATATCAATAACCTCAGATATGCAGATGACATCACCCTTATGGCAGAAAGCAAAGAAAAACTAAAAAGCCTCTTAATGAAAGTGAAAGAGGAGAGTGAAAATGTTAGCTTAAAACTCAATATTCAGAAAACTAAGATCATGGCATCTAGTCCCATCACTTCATGGCAAATAGACAGGGAAACAATAGAAACAGTGACAGACTTTATTTGGGGGGCTCCAAAATCACTGCAGACGGTGACTTCAGCCAGGAGATTAAAAGACACTTGCTCCTTGCAAGAAAAACTATGACCAATCTAGACAGCATATTAAAAGGAGACATTACTTTGTCGACAAAGGTCCATCTAGTCAAAGCTATGGTTTTTCCGGTAGTCATGTATGGGTGTGAGGTTGAACCATAAAGAAGGCTGAGAACCGAAGAATTGATGTTTCTGAACTGTGGTGTTGGATAAGACTCTTGAGAGTCCCTTGGACCGCAGAAGATCCAACCAGTCCATCCTAAAGGAAATCAGTCCAGAATATTCACTGGAAGGACTGATGCTGAAGCTGAAGCTCCAATACTTTAGCTACCTAATGCAAAGAGCCGATTCATTAGAAAAGACCCTGATGCTGGCAAAGACTGAAGGCAGGAGGAGAAGAGGACAACAGAGGACAAGATGGTTGATGGCATCACCGACTCAATGGACATGAGTTTGAGCAAGCTCCAGCAGATAGTGAAGGACAGGGAAGCGTGGCATGCTGCAGTCCACGGGGTCACAAAGAGTCGGACATGACTGAGCAACTGACCAACAACAACACTATATATACCCACTCAAAATAAAACTTAATGGCATTTTGACTGAGTCAGACTTTGAATTTCAGAGTCATCTGATGGCACACCCAGATTAAACTTATGCTCTGTTTTTTAAGTGATATACATCCAAAAACAAGAAATGCTTGGGATGTTTTCACTGAGAAGGCATCTCACCCAAGTATAACCTTCAAATGCACAACTGCAGCCAGCTAAATATATACAACAAATCTCATTGTCAACATCACTTTTTCAAAATAATCATTACCATAAAGCAAAGGAAAAAAGGAAAGTGAAGTCACTCAGTCGTGTTCGACTCTTTGCGACCCCATGTACCATACCCTACCAGGCGCCTCTGTCCATGGGATTTTCCAGGCAAGAGTATTGGAGTGGGTTGCCATTTCCTTCTCCAGGGGATCTTCCCGACCCAGGGATCAAACCCAGGTCTCCTGCACTGCAGGCAGACACTCTGCCATCTGAGCCCCCAGGGAAGCCATCATTACTGTGGTGTGGATCGAAAAAAGTCTGTGACATCATCCCTACCTACGGGATTTAACAATCACAGAGGACTTAACAACATAAGGTTCTGGGCCAGGTTTTGTGGGAAATTTTTAAATTGTAATTAGAGATTTTAATACCTCCCCTCAATAACTGATACACAACTAGACAGAATATCAACAAAGATACAGGTGATTTAACAAAACTATCAAACAATTTGCCTGGATTAACATCTATAGATCACTTCATCCATACCTGCAGAATATGTATTCTTTTCACGTGCACAAGGAACATTTACCAAACTATACCACATTCTTAGCCATAATAGATTTCTCCATAAATTCAAAAAGATTCAAGTCCCACAAAGTCTATTCTCTGACCACAACAGAATTAAGTCAGAAATGAATAACAAAAATGTCTGAAAAAAATTCCCAAATATTTAGAAACTAAATAACAAATTTCTAAATAATCTTTGTCTCAAAGAAAAATAAAAGGGGAAACGAGAAAAAATTTTGAACTTACCAAAAAAAAACGCAACACATCAGGATTTGTGGTAAGTCACTAAAACAGAAACTTTAGCTTAAGATACTAGCAAAAGAAGAGCAAATTAAAACCAAAGTAAGCACAGGGTATGGGATTCAGAGATAGAAACTACTATGTATAAAACAGATAATCAACAAGGGTATACTGTACAGCACAGAGAAATATAGACATTATATTGCATTAATTTTAAAGGGAGCATACCTATAAAAATACTGAATCATTATGCTGTGTACCTGAAACTAATACAATATTGTAAATCAGTTATATTTCAGTAAAACTTTTAATTCAATTTAAAAAAACAAAGTAAGCAGAGGAAAGAAAACAATAGAGATGAAAGGATAAATCAAACAAATCCAGAAAAACAAAAGTGTATAATTGAGAAACCAAAAGCTGACTCTTTGAGAAGATTAATAGAACTGAATAAACTTCTAGCCAGACTCATCAGGAAACTAGGATAAGAAGAAAGAAAATACAAACTGCAGTTATGAACATTAAGAGAGGTGACATTAACACAAAGTAGGTATATATATTAAGAGAACAGTGGGGAATAACAGCAGTAACTTTGTGCTGAGAAATTTAACAACGTAAATGAACAGACAAACTTGTGTGAAGACACAAAAACCCAAAGCTCACTAAGATATGGACAAACCGAACACCCCTTTATCCGTAAAGGAAGATGAAATTATAGTTAAAAGCTTTCCCACAGAGAAAACTGTAGCCCCAGACGGCTTTACTGGGAAATTCAAGCCTCCCTGGGAGCTTGGCTCAGACAGGAAGTAAGAGCTAAGGCAGAGCTGTAAACGGCCCTCCTGGGCATTGAAGCGCACCCCCGTTACACACACAGGGCCCGTCAACAAAGGCTGGGACACTGGCTAGCTCCAAACATGAGGCCAGCTGTACCATCATGATCTGACTGCTAAGAAAACTGAGCAGAGATTCAACTACAGAAACTGTTCACGAAAGTTGCAAAGCAAATGAGCAGCAGCAACCATGACAAAAAGCAACAACCACAAATGCTAGAGAGGAGAAAGAGTCTGATGTCCAGAGTGTCCAGATTATTTTATGTAACGTGTCTAGCTTTCAACAAATCATTATGATATCTGCAAAGAAACAGGAAAGAATGGCCCATATACAGGTATAAAAGCAGTTGACAGAAACTATGTCTGAGAAAGCCTAGTCATTACCTATTAGATATTACAGTTCCTAGACAAAGACATTAAATCAGGTATTTAAAAATGTTCAAAGAACTGAAGGAAACCATATCTAATGAGTAAAGGAGAGATCTGCCTTTAGAATGTCAGTGTGAGGAGCTCCATAAATATGCTCCCAGTGAAACTGGCGAAAATTATTTAAATAATAATAATGCTAAAGTCTGGAAATGATCCTAAGGGCACACTACAAATACAGAAATGTTCAGGAAAATCTATTAAAAACTCAGTATGAGCATCAAGAGTATATGGCATTTAAACCACAAGCCATCCCTCCCTATCCCTCTCGGGCTGGACTGACAAAAACTCCAGGCCAAGTAGAAACAGCCAAGAACACAGGACTCCCTCCCTCCCAGTTCCCAGGTGAAGGCGACAATATCTGTGGGAGAGAAGCTGAATATCAGTATTTCTCATGCCCTTTCCGGAGAAGGCAATGGCAACCCACTCCAGTACTCTTGCCTGGAGAATCCCAGGGACAGAGGAGCCTAGTGAGCTGCCATCTATGGGGTCGCACAGAGTCGGACACGACTGAAGCGACTTAGCAGCAGCAGCAGCAAGCCCTTTCCCTCAGCTACTTGAAGAACTGGCAGAATTTCTTTACAACCAAAGCTGCAAGAAAGATTTCCACGTAGCTGGGTAGAGTGGGGAAAAAAGGCATGAAGTTGGGTCCTTCACCCCTGGGAGGAATCTGAAAGGAAGAGAAGGTTTGCACAGGTGGACCCTCAGCCCGGAGAGTGACCAGGTCAAGCCACAGACTAGTCATCCCAGTCCTGGGATCCTACACGGAAAAGAAAAGCTCCTTTTATTTTTTTAAGGTGTTCAGTTACGTCTTATGCTTTTTTCCCCCAATACTAACAAAGTGAATTAATCCAATAAAAACAACAAAGAATTACCATAGTTTCAACGATGATGGTGAGGTTACCTAAGCCATCCGTCAGAGCTACATAGCTTCCTCCTCTCTCTAAATGGCCGACTGTCTTCAGGTAATACCAACCTGGTTGAGTAAACTGAGTGGTATGAGCTATAGAAAAGCAGAGAAAGACCCAAATAACATTAAAGTGGTGATAATAGGATTCTTCCAGAAATAAAAAGCTATCTACTTACTTGAAAAGAGAACAGAATATGCCACCCCAAAATGTGCCACTTTAGCATGTGTATTATTTTGGACTGCTGGCAATCAGGACCCAGAAGACTAAAGAAAAAATTTCTCTCTCCTTCAACTGCCTGAAAGAATCTAGACAGAAGACCCAGCCCAGAAAGAGAGCTATTACCAGCAATAACTTTTTATCTGAAAGACTTATCTGCATGGCAGAGCAAATATCTGTTCTTCTCTTCCTATGAATGGTCTTCTTCCCCTGTGAAGCTCCAGGTCCCTATCTCATTCCTTGGCTTAGGATGGCATTTATAAAGCCTGAACTGCCTGACTGCAAACTTGAGTCCCATATTTTTACATACAAAATTAAATGTGTAAATTAAATGTGTTTTTTTTTTCCTGGTGATCTGTCTTTTGTCCATTATTAGATTGACCAAAGAACCGAGAAGGTTAAAAGGAAAACTTTCCCAAGTATGACTGAGTCTAACAGCTAATTTCTATTTTGGAAAAAATATTTGCCAGCATCATGTTTCAACTTTTGAGTAATTAGCCTAGTTAAATGTTATAACTATGGGAATATTCTTAGAATGACTGGTAAAAAATAAATAAACCACACTCTGTCAGTTCAAGACTACTGAAAAACTGCTTTATTTCAACAGTAAATAAAGTTACCTCCTCCCAGTTTTTGTTGATCTCTATTTAAACCACCTTAATATAACTACAAAGAATATAGTTTTCAAAAAGTTGATAAAATACTTCAAAAACTAAGCTTTATGGTTTTAAACAAGTTTATTTTCACAATACTTATTTATTGGGCACCTCCATAGCTTGTCCTAGAAATGTACTGAGTGAGACTCCTCGTCTCATTTTGGGAAGTGACAAAATTAACTCCCCAAGAAACAGTGACAAAATTATAAAAGTACATTAGTTCATTGAAATAATGTGGGACCAACTATTTCAACATTTAAGGAGTTAACCAATCAGGATATACAAATTCAAAACTTAGCATTTTCATATTTATTAGAGAACAACCTGAGTTTAGAATAATGTCATGACTACAAATCTCTGTGAAAAATACATCAACTGGGAAAAAGAGCCTTGTCTTAGAAGAATCAAGAATGGAATACACAGAGTAGCTTAGTTACCCAAAAGAGTCTTCTAAAACACTAGGACAAATCTGGCTAAAACAGAGATACACTTAAAACTAACGTGTGTGCACACATGTGCGCGTGCACACACACATACGCAGTGTTTCTGTAACTCCCTCTAGGTGTTTTCTGCTTTGTCTCTCAGAAAGAAAGTCAGGGAGTGAGAGATGGAATCTGAACCATACCTGATACCCAGATAGGAGCTTCTACTACATAGTGCCCACTCCATGGCTCCTGGGCAGTCATCAGTCCACAACGCCCATACGGCAACTGCTGATAGTAACTAGCCACCAAATTCCAAGCAATGGTTCTAAAAGATTGTTTGGTAAAAGATAAACACCAAAGCAGCTTGTAATAAAAATGTAAATGTCTAGAAGCCTATAGTATAAAAGACCTTAGCAAAGTTTATACAAATATATGTAAGTGGTAAAATTACCACCCAAAACAAGAAAATTTAAGTTGCCTAAGTTCACCCATATTTTGAAAAATCAAGCGATGGATGCAATCATTTTAATAGTGAATCATATAATAAAAAATACAAATGTATATGAGGTGTACAATTTTTACTGCACAACTGTATAACCAGAAAAAAAGTCACGACCTAACAGTACCACATATGGCACAAATGTGAGTCAAATACAGATAAAGACTTTATCTATACCCGCTTTGTTTTTGACAGTCAGGCTTCTTAATGGCCCAGTTGCATGACATAATTTCATCACCTGACTCAGCTGCTGTAAAGTTTTACAATGAGAACAGTCCGACTGCCAGGGTCACGTCACGGTGCAGGCAGACAGGAAAGGGGTTCCCAGAGGAAGAGGACCACACGTAACTCTCTCGACGTGAGAGGAGCCTTTTAAGGCCTCAGCCACTTTGTGATCTAAGCCTGCCCACAATGCAATGCTTGCCCCTGTAGAAGTGGTCTCAGTAGTAACTGATTTTAAGGGAACAAAAGCATCTAAGAACAAACAGCTATCACCAGGCCAGGGAGATAACTTAACCATATCTGAGACAATATATCAGACCCCAAAATAAGCTTTATTCCTGTTCGCAGCTTCCTGCCTTTTCTTTCTAGAGCTGACCCATGTTAGATATAGGATAGATGAACAAAATAAGGCAAATGCTTATAATCACTGAATTTAGGTTGTGAGACTATGGAAGTCCATTGTACTTTTTTCTACTTATTATGCTTTGAAATTTTTCAAAATAAAAACCTTTAAAAGTTTTAATTACTTACGAAGTCATGTAGCCATTGATGTAATTCTGATTCAATATACGACCCCAGCAGCCTGCACCCACATCACCGTTTACAGTGCTAAAATCTTCAGAAGACCACAGCTTCTTCTTAGTCAACCTAGCGTCCTTTACTGTAAGTGTCCCAGGGTAATGAGCTCTAGAAAAGAAAGAGGGGGAGGAAATGCCGAAAGTCAGAACATGGCACTCCTGTCTACTTATTGAGTAATACCCTCCCTGATAGCTCAGCTGGGAAAGAATCCGCCTGCAAGGCAGGAGACCCCGGTTCAATTCCTGGGTCGGGAAGATCCGCTGGAGAAGGGATAGGCTACCCACTCCAGTATTCTTGGGCTTTCCTGGTGGCTCAGCCAGTAAAGAATCTGCCTGCAATCAGGGAGACCTGGGTTCAATCCCTGGGAAGCAAAGATCTCCTAAAGAAGGGAACGGCTACCCACTCCAGTATTCTGGCCTGGAGAACTCCATGAACTATTCCCTGGGGTCGCAGAGTCAGATGCAACTAAGCAACTATAATTTTCACTGAGTGAACAAACATACGTGTCTTTGCCAAGGTTTTCTATTTTAAAGCAACAGGCAACTTCCAGGTGGATGTCAGGCTGCATGTAAGCATCTGCTTCCCACCCCTGGGTCTCAGGATGCCCTGAGGATGAGATGCACTTGCAACACACAGAAAGCGGGGAAGATCATCAGTAGATGAGGGACTTCTTTCTGGAAACCGTAACAAGAAGGGAAGGATGTCGACAGATGGAGACAGCAGAAGAGGCCTAGAAAATTCCAAGAGATGAATGAGGTGGAGACAGGATTCAGACTTCCCAAGGGATGTAGTGAGCTTGGACAGTACAAAGAAAGGAGTGAAAAAGAAAACCAAAAGTAAGACTTCCCTGGCAACCCAGTGGTTAAGAATCCGCCTTGCAATGCAAGGGACATAGGTTCAATTCCTGGTCAGGGAACCCACATGCTGTGAAGCAATAATGACAGAAACCCACAGGCCACCACTAGAGAAGTATCACAAGGAAGACCTAGTTCATTTGTTACAAAGAGATATGTTTTTATCTTAAAAAAAGAAAAGAAAAAGACTAACAAGCTTCTTACATAAAGTATCAATAGTATTCTCTCCCCTGCTCTACCCTTCATACAAAGGAAGGCAGCTTGGCATTTATTCCCCGGCAGAAACAAAAACACTAAAGCAAAACCAACAAAAACCCACAGTGGACTCTTATTTGAATAAGAATAAGAAGTTATTATCCCAGAGCAGTGGTCGTTCTCAACTTGGGCGATTTTGTCTGGAGGAGAAGGTATGGCAGCAGTTGCTACCGTTATCTAGGGCACAGAGGCCAGAGACGCAGCTAAACACCCTACAATGCCCATAACAGGTCCCCACGACAAAGAACTATCCAGCGAAAAATATCAACAGTGCAGAGGTGGAGAAACCCTTCCCAGAGCAATGAACCTCTCCCTTTTCTAGCATATGAGAGGAGTCAACTGAAATATAAGTGTATATTTATTGTTCCAAGAGTAAAATACTGTCATAATGATGGTTGTGGAAGTGACTGATTATTGAATATAGAAACAATTAAGAAATTTCAAATGTAAAATAGAAAAGAGGCTAACAGTATAAGAATTAGACAGCACATGAACTCTAGGGAGAAGAGTGTATACTTCTTAAGCCAACAACTATTGACGAAAAATTTAACAAAAATACAAGCAAAATAACAGAGATTGAATCATATCATGATTCTTATCTTTGTGGTTTGGTATAGTAGTATTCTTAACATTAAAAGAATGATTGTGAAGACCTATTTTACTCTGGAAAATTCTAAAGGAAATGGGACTACCAGACCACCTTCCCTGCCTCCTGAGAAACCTGTATGCAGGTCAAGAAGCAACAGTTAGAACAGGACATGGAACAATGGACTGGTTCAAAATTGGGAAAGGACTACATCAAGGCTGTATATTATCACCCTGCTTATTTAACTTATATACAAAGTACATCACATGAAATGCCAGGCTGGATGAAGCACAAGCTGGCATCAAGATTGCCAGGAGAAATATCAATAACCTCAGATATGCAGATGATACCACCCTTAAGGCAGAAAGCAAAGAAGAACTAAAGAGCCTCTTGATGAAAGTGAAAGAGGAGAGGGAAAAAGTTGGCTTAAAACTCAACATTCAAAAATCAAAGATCATGGCATCTGGTCCCATCACTTCATGGCAAATAGATGGGGAAACAGTAAATAGACTTTATTTTCTTGGGCTCCAAAATCACTGCAGATGGTGACTGCAGCCATGAAATTCAAAGATGCTTGCTCCTTGGAAGAAAAGCTATGACAAACCTAGAGAGTGTATTAAAAAGCAGAGACATTACTTTGCCAACAAAGGTCTGTATAGTCAAAACTATAGTCATGTATAGATAAGAGAGTTGGACCATTAAAATGCTGAGCACTGAAGAATTGATGCTTTTGAACTGTGGTGTTGGAGAAGACTCTTGAGAGTCCCTTGGACTGCAAGATCAAACCAGTCCATACTAAAGGAAATTAGTCCTGAATATTCATTGGAAGGACAGATGCTAAAGCTCCAATACTTTGGCCACCTGATGTGAAAAGCTGACTCAATGGAAAAGACTCTGATGCTGGGAAAGATTGAAGGCATGAGAAGGGGATGACAGAGGATGAGATGGTTAGATGGCATCACTGATTCAATGGAGAGGAGTTTGAGCAAGCTCCAGGAGATGGTGAAGGGCAGGGAAGCCTGGCGTGCTGCAGTCCATGGGGTCACAAAGAGCTGAACATGACTGAGTAAAAAACAACAAACTTTAGTTTTTAGTTATTTAATTCCATTTAGGTCATGAATCTTTTTAAGAAAAAAAAATCCTACTTGGGAATTAATTATCCTAGTAAAGATGAAATAAGGCACATCAATCTGGTGTTCCATGGTTTCATAAGGAAAAATGAATATATAATAAAGAATATAAAATAAGGAATCAGAGGAAAATGAGAATCCATCATGGCTTCATTGAATCACTGACCTCAGGTGAAAATAGGCACCTATTCAGTATTGTAAAAATACACAACAGATACTCAAAAAGAAAGCTAGCATCTAACAGGGTTAAGAATTCATGTTCTGGAACTATAAATCCCAAATTGGAAAATCTGACAATTCTCTGCAATTACATAATTTTAATAAACTTTAACATTTTGATGATCTGATCTAAGTCACTTCAAAGTCATGTCTGACTCTCTGCGACCCTGTGGACTATAGCCTTTCCAGTTCCTCTGTCCATGGGATTCTTCAGGCAAGAATACTGGAGTAGGTTGCCATGTCCTCCTCCTGGGGATCTTCCCGACTCAGGGATCAGACACGTGTCTCTTATGTCTCCCGCACTGGTAGGCAGGTTCTTTACCACTAACACCACCTGGGAAACCCTTATTCTATATCACAGAACTTCATTCTATGATCATAATATTCAGTTTTGACACCTCAAAAAAAATGCTAATTTTAAGACTCATCTAGTTATCACTCAGTCAAATGTATATCTGGTATGTCTCTGGTAAAAATAAAAAATATTTATATAAAAAATAATACCTTGTAAAATAATATGTTGTTATGCTACTCTAGATATTAAGATTATGAGTAAGTTCCAACTCTATAGTTTTCTACAGTTTCCAAATTTTCTATAAAGAGTATGCATTATTTTTAAAACCCCCAAAAGCATCTCTTTCAAAGCTATAGTAATAGGTATTATATCTCTCATTCAGAAAATAAAGAAACTTACATTTTAAACCTGAGTGATTTATCAAATGATCCGAGAAAAGAGGGGTAGAACTGATACTAAAACCCAGGTCTCTTGTGATGCCCAGATCTATAGTTCAACAAAATAATGTAAAAGTTCTTTAAGAATATAATTTTTAAATGCATATAATTAGGCAAAACATCTATTATTTCATGGCATGATTTTTCAAACTTTAAATGACAAGATTAAGGTCACTGAAAGTAAACCAAAGTTTATCCTATCAGAAAAACATATGTGTATTACAGGAAAAATAGAACTTATAGACGAGGTGGACTGTGGTAGCAGCCCAGTTTCTGAAACTCCCCACAATACTCCTCCTGAAACCAAACAGACCCATCTGATGACGGAAATTAAAACCCACAGACAATACCCCCATCAAAACCAGGTGACAGCAAGTCCCCAGGAGTCCTGCAGCAGCGGGGTGGGCAGACAGAATGTGGAAACAGGGGAGGCGACAGGTGACCAACAGGCACTCATTCCACAGAGGCGGCCCCACCCTGAGCGGAAGCACCAACAACAACCAGCTAAAGGGCAAAGGTCTTCACAGGCTGGAAACTGGGGCCAAGGCCCCAACAATAAATTCACTAAGAGGTTAAACACGATACTGTGACAGTTTAAACCAGATTGGTCCAATAGGAATACAATGTGAGCTATACAAAGTAATTTTAAATCTTCCAGTAGCTACGTTTTTAAAAAACAAAATTTTAATCATATATTTTGTTTAACCCAATATACCCAAAATACTATCATTCAACACATGTAATCAATATGAAAAATCATTAATAACTTACTTTTCTATTATTAATATATCTTTAAAATTTGGTGTGTGTTTTACACTTATAACACTCCTCAGTTCAGACTAACCACATTTCAAGCGTTCCATAAACAGCTGTGGCTAGCGGTCCCCATAGTAAACAATACAAACTGAAACTCTTAACTATTTCAGAAATAGGCAGCAAATAATCTAAGCTATGGATTTTCCAGTAGTCATGTATGGATGTGAGAGCTGGACCATAAGAAAGGCTGAGCACCAAAGACCCTTTTGAACTATAAGGTTGGAGAAGGTGCTTGAGAGTCCCTTGGACAGCAAGGAGATCCAACCAGGAAATCAGGAAATCAGTCCTGAATATTCATTGGAAGGACTGACGCTAAAGCTGAAGCTCCAATCCTTTGGCCACCTGATGGGAAGAACTGACTCACTGGAAAAGACCCTGATGCTGGGGAAGACTGAAGGCAGGGGGAGAAGGGGACGGCAGAGGATGAGATGGCTGGATGGCACCACTGCTCCAACTCATGTCCATTGAGTCAAACTCTGGGAGATAGTGAAGGACAGGAAAGGCTGCTATGCTGATGTCCATGGGGTCACAAAGAGTCGAACACCACTGAGCGACTGAACAACAACAAATCCTTTCTGGAATGGTGGAGTCTCACCATGAGAATAAGCTCTGTGAATCAGAATCCAAATCGAGCAAGACAGGAACACTTAGGGTGAGGGAGAGACAACACTGCCTTCATAATTCTAAAATGTAAACACTACTCTGCCCCTTAATCTAAATAAAATCATGTTTTGTATTTCTGAGCACTGACACAGTATTTCAAAAGTCATCAATACATTTTTACATTGTCATAGAAAGATTCCCAAAATACACCAAAATACATAACTTTCAAAGAAAAAAAGGAATGAAGCATCATTTCTATATGCTTTAGTTAAGTAAATACAAGAAAGCAACCTTCTGCAAATATAATCGAAAGGGGAGAAGCAGGCAAAAACAAAGGCACCATCAATAGTCAGAGCAACCAACAGAAACTGTTCATTCTCAAAGTAAAACATTCCTTACCCTATTACATCAATCACCTTCAAGAGCTCAGGGTCGAGCAGCATAGAAGCAGAAATGGGCTCCCAGAGATTATCACTCGCTATGATTTTCACGTGCTGGAGACCTTGATGGTTCAGCATTCTTCTTAACACCTTTCAGAGAGATAAGCAGAACACAGGAAAGGTTAAAAATGAGTTTTCAGCTGCTGACTTATGACCAAGTGAGCTAAAGTGTCTTCAGATTCAACAAGCAGGATGAGAGTGTCAACATTATTTCTCAATAGAAATGCTCCCCGTGTGGAGAGGTAAAAAAGCACTATCACTAAGACAATCTACTTCATGGGAATGTAAAAAGAAATGTGAAATGTCAAGTCTGGGAAGATGAGCGCTCATCCCTGCAGCGACACGGTCCACCTGACTACAGGGCTGCACGGGACACGGGCACTAACCTGGCTCTGCCCTGTCTTCCGGCTGCCCTCATCAGACCTGCACTCTTCCTACTCCCAGCCTGCACGTGCGACCCTGCGCTTCAGTCTTACGCTGCCCCACTGGCCCCTCCGCAGCCCCCCCCGCGGCGCTCACCCCTCCCCTGGCAACGCCTGCCCCTGCAGGTAGCTTTGCGTTACCTGGCTCTGGCTGCGGTCAGTCCTCTCAGTCTGCGCCCTCTCCTCCACACAGCCAGTGACTAAATAGTGCCGCTAATCCAAAACATATCGGCCTACTGATGGCTCAGTGCCCCTACTGGTCTAATCCATCTTTCTCCACTTGCTCTGCCCCCAAACCCCTTGACCTCTTAGTCTTCACGCCTTCCCAATGGCATGGTCTGCCTTAGCAACTTGTGGAGCGCCTATCCATCCCAGCTTGAAGATGCCAGCTAGTCTTTAAAGAGAATTCCCTGACCCTCAGGTGCAGGCATCACCTCCTCTCTGCACCTTCTGACAAGCCCTCTATGTGCATGATTCTGCTAAATAAATCATGACTGATTTTTCAGCTGGTCGTATGAGACTCTACAGTCCCCAAATGTGAACTCCTTTTGGGGAGAAAACATACGTTTTATCCTTGTATTCCAAGCATATATACAATGTCTGACAAACTAGGTGTTGAGTAAATGCTTCCTGGCTGACAGATTGAATAAATAAACGAAATAAATTTAGTGGATACTACGTGCTTAAGAGAATAAGACACTCAATTTAAAGAAAAAAAAATAACTGAAAAAAATGTGACCACGAAATTCTATTTCTTAGAGAAAAGACATATAAAACAAGACAAACAGAACTATGAAGTAAACCAGAGAATATCTCCACTTGAAAAGTTAAACTGCCATTTGTTTTCCAGTGATGGAAAAGGTTATTACTCTCAGATTTTCCTCTCCTAAAAAATAGCAACAACAGTAGCTACCCCTTAAAGGAGACAGTTAAGAAGTAGAGAGAGATACATATTTAGGGAAAGTACCTCAAAAAGAAACACACTTTGCAAATATTAGTTGCTATCTATTTGCTAATCACCAATAGAAAAATACAACACACTCCAATGTAACAGGCGTTCCAAAGAAAACAAGAATGAGATAATATACTACAAATTTGATACATGACAATAAAAGAAAAATCTACATGTCTTGAAGTTCTAAAAATCTAAATGATATAGTTGTTTCATAACAATTATCATAATTATATAAATACTGAACTTTTAAATAGAAAAATACACCACAACTCTATCGACAAAGGCAATTTTGGGGGGGATTAAAAGGAATTATATAATTTTATGTTACAACTGGCAAATCACATCACTGTGCTATAAAAAATACAGTGTTCCTCCTACTGATTTCCATGAAACTATAAAGGAATTTTTCACTAATAACTTAAAGATAAAAAGATTTTAAAGTTGTACAGACCTTGATATAATTAATGTCAAATGCCCTCTCATTCCAAATCTACAAAACAAAAAGTCAAAATGTCAGGATTGTAAGATTTTGTGTCAGAAAATAAACACTACCACTAAGATGCCTCTTCTCTCACCATCTTTCATATTATCTGGAAAGCCATTTTTCTTACTTAATAGAGTATCCTACTATTAAATGTATAGATATTTATAAGACAACATAATTTTAATTAAAATAGTATTTTTAAAAACCTTAACATATTTGGAGGGTATTTTTCAAAATGTCACTTACTCCAGAGATTTCTAAAAATGGACTGTTGAAATCAGTCCATAAAGACCGGTGAAACAGTGTGTGCCAGGAACTACAGCAGGCACTGGGCCCTCACCACACCTAGGGCTGTGGCAGTCATTCTTACCGGTCCCTACACACACACCTGAAAGCCAAGGATGAATAAGGACACTGCAGTGGACTCATGTTTTTAGCACACACAGAGAATCACAATGACGTGCTACATCATGAAAGCAAACTCTTAGTGAAGACAGATAAAAGGAACATGCACAAATCTCTTAGGCTTAGAATCACATAGCATGAGGTTTCAATGTTGAAACAGAAGTTTGCTAAGACTTTCATTTTGCACCTGAGAGATGGGCCTAGGTTCCAAATACTCTTTTCACTCCAGTGATTCTGGTGGTAGTGGTTCAGTTGCTAAGTTGTGTCCGACTCTTGCAGCCCCATGGACAGTAGCCCACCAGGCTCCTCTGTCCATGGGATCTCCAGGCAAGAAGACTGGAGTGGGTTGCCATGCCCTTCTCCAGGGGATCTTCCTGACCCAGGTCTCCTGCACTGCAGACAGATTCTTTACCAACTGAAAAGTGATCTGATCAAAGAAACTTCCTTACCATGGCACGTGGTTATGAAGAGTGTAAAAGAGATGTGAATAACCCATTTTCTAACAGAAACATTTTCTGTGACTTTACCATAATAGAACGTCGCAGGACTCACACCTACATTTAGTTTCACTATGGGTTAAAAATATTTGTGTTCTCAAACACAACAGACTAATTTTCAGTTATAGTCTAGAGAAGTATAACAAAAACAGTGTGTCCCTGCTTCCAGCTTCCTGCAGCCCCAGTCTGCCCTCAGGCCCCACACCACGTCTAGGATCTGCAGCGTGCCTGCTGCAGCGTCCAGCCCTCTCACCCAACTCCTCCAGGGCTTATTAACCGTGCTGTCCCCAGACACGTCAGTCACAACGCCTGCAACACAGCAGCAGCTCTGTCATTGCTGGCTAACTGCAGGAAAGCTTTTAAAACCAATTTTGACAGCATACTTATTAGCCAAAGTGTACAGAGACCCACTATGTGTGTGTATAAGGCTCCATAGGGGCACAGTGCAGGATGAGGCATGCCTCCAGCCAGCCAACAGACCAGCTAGAAACACAAGATGCTATGGCTCACATTTTTAAATCATTAAAAACTATTAAGTAACAACTCAGGACAAGGGTAGGCTTATTTATAACAACCTGCCTAATCAGACCCACTATTCATATTTTTTACAGCCTGAAAGCTAAAAATGGATTTTACAATTTTAAGTGGTTACATTTTAAACGGTTATATAATTACCTACATAATATCCTTAATATTGCTTTCTGATCCACAAAACTTAAAATATCTACTCTCTAGCACTTTTAGAAGTCTGCTACCCTCTACTTTAGGACCACAGAAGATTGAGGGAGCAAAATGAGATTAATCACTAAACTATAAAAGTAAACACATTATTGTTTTAAGAATTATGAACAAAAAAACTAGGGAAAGTTTAGAAGAAGAAGAATTTGAGCTGGGGTGGTACCAAAAACAAAACAAAAACAGAAACAGTGCAGGGAGGCATAAACTACATACAGGTTTCAAAAGTGGGAAGATTTGGATAGATAGAGAGGAAGGATCAATGGTGACATAGAGATAATTTGTCAACAGACATCAACAGAACAAATTAGTCTCAGGACACAATGATGTCAACAAAGTGCCAGAAATTACTTTTAAAAATTATAAATAAATGTCCAAAGCTTAATCATGTTCTGAAATATATATTACTGACTCCGATATAATCAATGTCCAGATCGTGATAATGCTTGGACCCCACAATCCAGGTCACGATGTAGTAGGCTGTCAGCTGAAGATTGACGTAAGGCCAGTTGAAGCCCTTCCCCAGCCATCCAGGGAACGACCACGGCAGCCCTGTGGAGACGAACGGGCAGAGTTGGAGCAGGTGCCGCAGTGCAGCACCACGAAAACCAGAGCAAAACAAACAGAAAGGAACCAACTCAGGCTATGCAGACAGCCAATACAGGTCTGACCAAAGGAAAGATGGCGTACCAGGCACAAACTCTCAAAATCCCTCCCAGCTTATGGACATAATATTTCCTTACTGATCCTGAGTCAGGTTCCATGATTCTAAGTGCTCTTTCAATAAAAAGAAATCTAAAAAAAACAAAAACCCTTTTCTCAGTGATATTTACCAACAGAAACAAATGTAACATATAATTTAATATCCCCACCTCTGCTAAAAAGATATTCAATGTACAATTTTTGTTCTCTGAATGCAAATCAAAGAGTTTTGAAAGGTTTATGCTTAACCTGGTGACTCAAACAGTAAAGAATCCGCCTGCAATGCAGGAGACCCCGGTTTGATCCCTGGGTCAGAAAGATCCCCTGGAGAAAATGGCTATCCACTCCAGTATCCTTGCCTGGAGAATTCTATGGACAGAGGAGCCTGGCAGGCTACAGTCCATGGGGTCACAGAGAAGTGGACATGACTGAGAAACTAACACTATGCTTAAGACTTCTGTGAGGCAAGTACAATACAAATTCCTCACTCACTACTACATCTTCTTACAACTTGAAGCTATTTAAATACTAATTAGTAAGGTAATCAAATTTTGCAAAACTAGTTTTTCTTTATGGCAATATAAGTGCCAGTGACTCAATAGGGAAATATGCCGTTGTTATATGTTATTGAACAAATAATACACATTCTTCTAATACCCCAGTTATTATTAAGTTTTTAAAAAAAAGAGAGAGAGAAAAGCAGCACTAATTATGACTCTAAATCCTAATTCTCTTACTAATATATTAAAATAAGGTCAACATTAAGTTCCTTAACTGTTAATATGTTACCAATCTAGTTAACCACTGAAAAAAATTAAAATCAAAATGACAAAATGCTTATTTTTCTAAACTCTAGAAGAAAGCCTAAGTTGTACCTACACAAGAAATATGACATTAAAATAATGGAATGTTTTAAAACTGTGAAATCCCAAATACATTCTGAAGGCCCTGAAGGCCCGCCATGAGTAAGTCTTTGTTAGGAGAGGGTTCAGCCTGCCAGATTTTCTGCATTTAAATGAGAACTGACCTTGAAAGCAGCCCAGGGGTCAAGTATGTGCTGAAGTCAATGATGCTTTTTACTGCTCAATTTCTAAAAACTCTTACAAAAGTCCATTTAGAAAGAACACACTGACTCCTCATTTTTTTAACTGAGAAAAACTTACACTTGCCCTTTGATGGTTGAAAATGATTTTTAAAATAACGTGAAGTTAACCCCTATAAGTTAGGACCATCAGCAATAAAAAGAAATGCAAAAAGGCAAAATGGTTGTCTGAGGAGGCCTTACAAGTAGCTGAGAAAAGAAGAGAAGCTAAAGGCAAAGGAGAAAAGGAAAAATATACCCATTTGAATGCAGAGTTCTAAAGAACAGCAAGGAGAGATAAGAAAGCCTTCCTCAGTGATTAATGCAAAAGAAATAGAGGAAAACAATAGGATGGGAAAGACTAGAGATCTCTTCAAGAAAATTAGAGATACCAAGGGAACTTTTCATGCAAAGATGGGTACAGTAAAGGACAGAAATGGTATGGACCTAACAGAAGCAGAAGATATTAAGAAGAGGTGGCAAGAATACACAGAACTGTCCAAAAAAGATCTTCACGACCCAGATAATCATGATGGTGTGATAACCCACCTAGAGCCAGACATCCTGGAATGTGAAGTCAAGTGGGCTTTAGGAAGCATTCTATGAACAAAGCTAGTGGAAGTGATGGAATTCCAGTTGAGCTACTTCAAATCCTGAAAGATGATGCTGTGAAAGTGCTGCACTCAGTATGCCAGCAAATTTGGAAAACTCAGCAGTGGCCACAGGACTGGAAAACGTTAGTTTTCATTCCAGTCCCAAAGAAAGACAATGCCAAAGAATGCTCAAACTACTGCACAATTGCACTCATCTCACATGCTAGCAAACTAATGCTCAAAATTCTCTAAGCCAGGCTTCACCAGCACGTAAACTGTGACCTTCCAGATGTTCAAGCTGGATTTAGAAAAGGCAGAGGAACCAGAGATCAAATTGCCAACATCCATTGGATCATCAAAAAAGCAAGAGAGTTCCAGAGAAGCATCTACTTCTGCTTTATTGACTATGCCAAAGCCTTTGACTATGTGGATCACAACAAACTGTGGAAAATACTTCAAAAAATAGGAATACCAGACCACCTGACCTGCCTCCTAAAAAATCTGTATGTAGGTCAAGAAGCAACAGTAAGAACCGGACATGGAATAACAGACTGGTTCCAAATTGGGGAAGGAGTATGTTAAGGCTGTATACTGTCAACCTGCTTATTTAACTTATATGCAGAGTACATCATGCGAAATGCTGGGCTGGATAAAGTGCAAGCTGAAATCAAGATTGCTGGGAGAAATATCAATAATCTCAGATATGCAGATGATACCACCCTTATGGCAGAAAGGGAAAAGGAACTAAAGAGCCTCTTGATGAAAGTGAAACAGGAGAGTGAAAAAGCTGACTTGAAGTTCAACATTCACAAAACTAAGTCATGGCATGTGGTCCCATCACTTCATGGCAAATAGATGGGGAAATAATGGAAATAGTGACAGACTTTATTTTTTGGGACTCCAAAATCATTGCAGATGGTGACTGCAGTCATGAAATTAAAAGATGTTTTCTCCTTGAAAGAAAAGCTATGACCAACCTATACAGCATATTAAAAAGCAGAGACATTACTTTGCCAACAAAGGTCCGTCTATTCAAACCTATGGTTTTTCCAGTAGTCATGTGTGGATGTGAGAGTTGGACTATAAAGAAAGCTGAGCACCAAAGAATTGATGCTTTTGAACTGTGGTGCTGGAGAAGACTCTTGGGAGTCCCTTGGACTGCAAGGAGATCAAACCAATCAATCCTAAAGGAAATCAGTCCTGAATATGCATTGGAAGGACTGATGCTGAAGCTGAAGCTTAAAAACTTTGGCCCCCTGATGCGAAGAACTGACTCACTGGAAAAGACCCTGGGAAAGATGGAGGGCAGGAGGAGAAGGGGACGACAGAGGATGAGATGGCTGGATGGCATCACTGACTCGATGGACATGAGTCTGAGCAAGCTCCAGGAGTTGGTGATGGACAGGGAGGCCTGGCGTGCTGCAGTCCATGGGATCACAAAGAGTCAAACATGACTGAGCGACTGAACTGAACTGAAGTCCTAAAAATGGATCTCAATAAATCACATAATTTAGCCTGAACGTGTAAGCCTATTTGAAATAACCAAGGTCATTTCAAATGATAAAAGTATGCTTCAACTGTGTATGTTTGAAATCTTTTATAGGTCTGTACACTGCTATAGGAGAACAGCACAAGGAATATAGTCCCATGTGAGAAATAATCCTGCCACTAGAATTTAATCTCCACAAGAAAAGTGACCACCACATCCTTGAGGTTCAAAACAAACAACAAAAATCACTTCTGTATGCACCTCTTCTAGAAATGGGATCCACTACTGTATGCAACACTCCATTTTGCAAGTGAGTTGAGATATACTGCTATCGACTAGAAACTGGCACCTCCATCTGCCTCTACAAGGAGGAATCGAGTGTGCTGTACTGCTGATTTCCAACACCCACTGCAAGGAGTCAGGGTGGAGAGCAGAAATGAGGCACTCTGGGATACATACTCTCAGGAGCCCACTTTATGAGCTCAATTCTTGTATCTCCTCGTCTCCAGAAAAGCGCTGAACTCCTTCATGGGGATGCCTGCTCCTTGTGACTAGCAGAAACCTTCCACAAAAGTGTGGATCTGATTGCATGTGCTCCCCTCACCAAAACCACATACACACCGACCCCACCCCCCGCCTCTCTGGGAGCGCTCTTTCCTCCTTCTCAAGTGCTGTCTCCCGTGCTGCAATCCTCATTTTGCCCCAAAGATAACTTAACTCGTAACTCTCACATGGTACATTTCCTTAAGCTGACAGCGTTGCATATACAATATACAATCTTATAAACACTGTCCTTTTACAAATTTTAACAAGACATTCTGTTGAGGAAATTAGTATAATACCACAAAAAAAAAAAAGCATAGAACAGACTTAGGCTCTAAATATGATTTTGACGGTCACTAATTTTCGACCTTAAGTCAGGGGGGTGAGTCTCTAAGCCTCCACTGCTTCTGTAAAATGAGAAGACAATGCCTCCCTCCAGAGGCAGGATAAGTATCGGACACCAAACATGAGCAAAGGAAGGCGCATGCCTGGCACACGCTGGGCTGCTGGCAGCCTACTGGCAATGTTAACCACAAGATTAGCTCTTCAGCAGTAACAGGTACTCCACACACAATTCAGAACTTTAAAATTAAAGGAAGCAGACTACAAAAGTATGGCAAACTTCACTTCTTACCTATGAGTGTAATATTAGGGTTTCGCTTCTTAGCCTCCTTCATTAGCCACCATTCATATCCTCGGAAATAGTTCTCATCTAATGCGTAGTGCATGTGGGAGGGCTCTGTGCCATCTGAAGGGAGGAGAGCAAAGCAGAAGGAGACTATTAGTGGTGCTTCATAGGCCACACTCCACACACACAAACATACTGCAGAGAAGTAGGTTTCAGTTCCAATCCTGACCTGGGGCACTGAAGAATCATCTTATAAAACTTAAAGGTAGATGATCAAAGCATATTACTGCACTTATCCATTACCCTGAGCATCACAAAGGTCTTAAATAATAAACAACAACTTTCTATCATAAGCTGTGAGTGTTATCAGCTTATATAGTTGAAAATTTCTAGGACTAATATCCTGCTGGGAGTTGGTCTCTCAGGTTTTCAAATCCCCACGCCCAGCTCTAAGTTCAGCCCACCTCAACTTCTAGCATCTCAATCCCAGAAGTGAATCCTGAGCTACTAAGCTCCAATTTCCAAACCCCGTGCCTTGGGCCTATAACATGCCTCCTTAAATCAAGACAACAGAATACTGGGAAAATAGGAATAAGCACACTTTCCCATTGTAAGAAAATTCTATAGTAATCTCTATAGGGTGTCTAGGTAGGTAAATAACATCAATCCTCATGTGTTACCATGTTTCACAAACATCTGGCCTGGGAAAGGCACCCTAGCCCTTTTCTTCTTAAACGTAAAAATCAGAATTCACAAGAACTACCTGCTTCTGTATCTCTATCTCTAATCTAGCTTCAGCAAATGAAGATGGCCAGCCATTATCTATTCTGCAAAAAAGGGTTTCCCGATAAAATGCATGTCTTCCTATAACAGCTAGGGGATGGTTTTGTTATGGGGATTTCTTTTGTTTTTAATTTTCATTTTTTCTTTCAGAATAAATTAAATACCAATACCACCACACAGATATATCTCTTTAACAAAAATTACTTACAAGACACTAACAGAAACATGGGCATATAGACAATTCTCTAAGGTTTACTATAATGGAGTCTAACCTATAAAAAAATAAGCTATATATAATCATTGAATTTTCTTCTTCCCGAAAACCAGAGGCCTAAAAAATTTTTAATTGACTGCATGTTTTACACAAAGCCAATCAAAATGATGACAATAAAGACTGCAAATTTACTGGTTAAAATTATTTTATTTTTAAAGGACAAAAATGCTGTATCTCTGAAATACCAATTATATTTTGCCACATATTTTATTTAAAGCTAATAACACCGTTTTTTTACATGTTTAATACGTTAAACTTACTTTCTTAAAACTTCTCAGTAAAATCTCACTCTCTCCCTATTCTCTGTTTAGTGACTATTAGTTTATAAAAAACTGTGGATTTATTTACTACTGATTCTTCAACTAAATAAGAAATTTAAAGTCCACAAGCTACTTTGTATGAAAAAATACATGTGTTGATTTAATATTTTTAAAATAACTATAATGAAAAAGGAACAATAAAGAACAATCTAAACAGTAATCAAAATCATAAATGTTGGCATTATTTATATTCTGAAACCACAGTCTATGAGTTTAGGTACAGGTTCAAATATTGGAGGCAAATATCCCAGTCCCCAAATCTTCCTACCTGTTGTCTGCCCATCACCACCTATTTCAACTTTTAGAATATGCAAAGAGGCACCGAAGTTTGGCTGGGGAAAGAAGCAACAGTATTTACAGTGTGGCTCATTATATGAAGGATAAAACATTTCAAGATAATTATACTAATCACTGCCTTTGATTTTACAGATAAGAAAATCAAAGCAAAACTTCAAATAGATAGCAACTTATTCCAAAAGTAATTTACCATATTTTTAAAAACTAGAATTGTGAAGATGCTAAAGACTATTGCTGAAACTCACCACAGTTTCTAAAATATCACAGATACCATTAAATCATTATTTGTTCACTACCTTAAAGAGATAATCCAGTATTTCAGAACGGTAGGGCTCTGGGTAATTTACTAGAAGTCGGGAGGTTGCCTTAAAAAAAAAGAAAAAAAAGAGTTTTCAAAAGCATGAATAAAACAAATATAATCATGAGCACTTATTCACGGTGTTTATGCATGCCATGCCATCTAGCACGTCCACAGTTAGCCAGCTCTTGGGCAGCACCAAGCTATGGGAAGTCGTTTCCCAGGTTCTTTGTTCGCCTACCTTTGTCTTGCTCATAGCTGGGTAAATAGGGCTGATGTCTGTCCAATAGCTAAAACACAAGTTCCCAGCAACAACCACATTTCTCTTCTACTGAGATGACGGTTGTTGGGAGGTTAAGGTTGCTAAGTCTATTGATGAATCTCATTATTACAGATTTATCTTGAGGACCTAGACTCAGAGAGTGGTTATTTGAAGAAATAAAACAGTTTCTCTACCTCAAGACTGTTTGTCACCTACAATATCTGAGGGCCAAGAATGGGAAAGACGAATCTCAGGCAATTTTTCCCTCAATATCTTGTAGGAAAATATTACAAGCAGCAATTCTAAGGAAACTCTACTCTCCTCAGTCTTATTAATAGGTGCCATCTCTTGCTGTTAAGAATGACGATACAACCGTCCCGAGGCCAGGCTGTACAGGAAACCTCACACAAGACTGGCATAAGCACTATTTACAATAGCTAGGACATGGAAGCAACCTAGATATCCATCAACAGACAAATGGATAAAGAAGCTATGGTACATATATACAGCGGAATATTACTCAGTCATAAAAAGGAATGCATTTGAGTCAGTTCTAATGTGACAGATGAACCTAGAGCATATTATACAGAATGAAGTCAGAAAGAGAAAAACAAGTATCATATACTATTGCACATATATGGAATCTAGAAAGATGGTACTGATGAACCTATTTGCAGGGCAGCGATGGAGATGCAGACATAGAAAAGACTCGTGGACACACTGAGGGAAGGAGAGGGTGGGACAGACTGAGACAAGAGCATGGAAATGCACACACTACCACACATGGAACAGCCAGTGGGAATCTGCTGGGACTCAGAGCGCAAACCAGTGCTCTGTGACAACCCAGAGGGGGGATGGGTGGGAAGTGAGAGGGAGGTTCAAAACGGAGGGGACACATGTATACCTGTGGCTGATTCACGTTGTATGGCAGAAACCAACACAACATTGTAAAGCAAGTATCCTCCAATTAAAAATAAATAAAATTTTTAAAAGACTGGCATCAAAATGCATGGATAAAGGTGGAAGAATAAAGAGATAAAAGAAATTCCCTCCCCCCAAGAGCTTTCAGAATAAAGTTCAGATTGTTCAGTTTTATTCCCAAATTCCTTAATTATTTGGATTCTCACATCATCTATGTCGGTATAACAGACTAATATATCTTTCTTCTGTCTCCATTACTGCTTTGCAAATAGGTTCATCAGACCATCTTTCTAGAGTCCATAAATATATATTAATATACGATATTTGTCTCTTTTGGACTTACTCCACTCTGTGTAATAGGCTCTAGGTTCATCCACCTCATTAGAACTGACTCAAATGTGTTCCTTTTTAAGGCTGGGTAATGTTCCATTATATTTATGTACCACAGCTTCTTTATCCATTCATCTATCAAACGTACTCTATACCCTCATCTGACCAAATCCAGTCCAAGTTTTCTGGTCAAACTCCACCTCTTCAAGGAAGAATCCCCTCTGCTCTTCCTCAGCGTTGTGACGTAGGTGCCTCTCCTGTGGACTGTGGCCTCCCTCAGCAACAGGTCCACGGTGCTAGCATTAATCCCTCTATCCCCACACCATCATCACTACTTCACCTCTAAGATCCTTGGGGACAATGACTGGGCCTCATTCAAGTTCATATCCCCATTTATTCTCTTGTTCAATAAGCATTTATTTAATATCTCTTATGTTATTATTTTCTTCACCAGTACGGGCAACATAATATAGTCCTTGAGTCCATGGAGCTGGAATCCTGATTACATCATTTACAAGCAGTGTGACCAGGGGCAAATTATCATTTGCCAAGGGTCATCTTACTCATTCAGCTGTCCCAAGACTAAATTCAGATACAGGCAAGGACTTAGCACAGTAGCAGGCACATAGTAAGGTCTCAAGAGACGACAGGCATTGTATACACAAATTGCTTTTAAAAATAGTCATTTCCTCAAAGAGCTTACAGACTAGTAGAGGCTCAAACATTAAAGCGAATGAGTGCTGTATATGCACGCTAACCTAGTCTTGACCCGAGAGAAACAATGCTGCCTGCTCTGTATCATGCCAACAGTATATACTGCTGCTAGAACAGCATGTTTGGCTGCTTGGAGCTTGTCTTGCTCTCTATGCTCCTCCATCCTTAACAAGTAAGGGGCCAGCTTTGAGCAATCATACCCCGTCATTAGGATATTCCCAGCTGATAGCCACACCCAGTGCAAAAGCATTAGTTTTATCAATGGCAATAGTTAGCAGTATAGCCAAGTATTGAAATGTACCATGAAGCAATAACAAATCACCAAATTATTGCTACTAATCATGCTCCCTAAATAAGGCCTGGAGTTGTTTATAACAACCTAGGATGAAGTCTTAGGACAAAAATTGGAAAACAGTTATGTTCTCAATAAATAGCAGGCACTGAATGTATTTTTCACTTAAAATCCTTGGGTAACTTCCTCCCCACTAATGTATGAAACAGAATGATATTAACTAAAATTAGTCATGTTGCAGATGCCATCTTTTGATCTTTGACACCTATCCTCACAATGTTCCAACCAGGCAGGTATCACTGTGTGCCCAGAAAAAAATCTGAGCTACAGAGAGGTTAAATAACCTGCCCAAGGCTGTACAGTGAGTGACAAGGAGGCCCAGAACAGATCCCTGGCAATCTGGTTTTAAGTCCATGTGCACCACCCTGCTTTCCCTACCAAATACGCAGATTAAATGAGAATATTCCAAACACTTACTGCTACAAACTGTGCTACATACTGGAACTCCAGAAAGGAGTGACGTGCAAATATAGTACTGCAATCATTTTCATTCAATCAGTATTTACTGAACTTCTGAGATGAGTAATACATTACACACAGGGACACTATCAGAAAAGAGTTTCCTGTTCTGAGTTATGAAACAAACATCATTTTAAACAGAGTTATAAACATAAAATAACAAAAGATTTCCACTTTGAGCAAGTTAAACAATGGATTTAACATCAAAGTAAAGGTGTTAGGACATGATGAATCCTCATTTTATGAAATACTGGCTATTCTAGGTTTAAACCACCAAAATAAAAAAGAGAACGATAAATATATAAATATATTAGCACATTAGTCTACTGTTTATCTTGAAATATGTACCAACACCTATGAGTAAGGTTGCAACATTTGGAAATAAAAGTGTAAAAATCAGCTAGCTTAGGGAAAAGATTTTTTGCCCAGAGCAGAAGGTCAGATCTGCAATCAGACTAAAGATTTAGTCATCCACTGTCATTTTCTTTCTGGAGTGCAAGGGCCTAACTGAAGTTCTGATTGCCCAGGAATCCACTTTTCAAAAATAATTATGTTTTATCATATGTCTACTTAAAGCTAGTCACCCAAATGTCATTGGTAACTTGAAACCTTAGAGTTTTGCTGAGTTAAATGATGGAAATTCATTACACACATTAATTTCCAAATAATATAAAATGCTGCAACATTACTGAACACAGGTTTATCTACTTTTGGTTTCTTATTACAGAGAAACAAAAGATATTTAGATCTATCAGTAAACACATCCTGTCATTAGAAATTAGGTTTCTAAGAGTTAAGTACTCTAATTAATATATGTAATTAAAATATTAGAAATAATATGAGAAACAATTCAAGAAAAATAGGATGTATTTTGGCTAAGAAAAGGTATGAGGTAGGGAGATATATTTCTGTTAAGGGAAATGAAAGTAATTCTGTCCTCGAGTAGACAAAATGAATGGATATAGAAGCTGGGAGAGAGAATTTTACCTTGCGTAGTCAAGCTGGCTAAAAATGAAATTATAAGGATTTTTTAAAATAAGCTTTAATAAATGGCATACTTATGAAAAACTAAAAATTCTTAATCTTCTAAAAAGACAAATTTTTATTAGACTATTCGTCTGTTCTTGATAAGCTTGGGAAAGATTCTTTACCTTTTAAGGAAACTACATAGGAAATAAAGATTCAGATATTATCAAAATAATATTCTATGCTTCACATTATCTTTATCAAATCTTTACTTTAAAAAAAAGAAACCCTGAGTCTTCTCTATTAGAAGAGCTAAGGTTGTGGGTGGGGGTGGTTAAACTGGGTTTAAACTATGTAACTTTATATACTTGCCTGTGAAGTTCTTGTCATTTTGGTTAAATGGATAATTAAGTATTGTTTCACAGTAACCAATGACCCTATTTAATCAAGTGTTTTAACACCTTTTGTATTTTTGACAAACTTCCCCAAATAAATTCTAAATGAAGTCTTTTTGACCTCACATTAATTTCTTGAGATTTCTCCAGATGGGCCCTGGACATCTCAAAGATGTGTTCTTTCTCCTTATAAAAAGACATGAAACTAATGAGGCTTATTTGCCATGTTAAATTGTATGGCAAGCATTGTCAAGTAAGATGTAACGCTAAACTTTCTTTAATCGATATTTACATGTTAGTAACATACGTGTTCCAGAAATTACATGAAATTCCTAGACATCTGCTATGTCCTGGTATAATGCTATCACTTGCAATTCCAGTTATTATCTTAAAATGCTATAGGTTACAGAAATAACCAAATTTCCTTATCAACTGAATTACAATGAACTTTATCAGATTTTTAATATGCCCGTGTTTAAGCCTTTTTGTCATTTATAGATAGTTATTGCTTTACTAATGTTTTGGCAAAAATGTTTTTCCAAAAGTGCTTCATCTTCAAGACTTTTCGAGAGAACTCTTCGCTTAAACTACAGGATTCTGATAACTTTCAGATTACATTGATGAACTAGGTAAGAATTTACAGAACTCTAAGGTAAAACAAGAATCAT